TGTTCAACTTTTTACAAAGGTTCTTTGCCTTTGAAAAACTAAATCTTTTCCCATCAAACAATCTGACTGAAGGCACTGAAATCAATAAAGCATATCAATATTTGTACAACAACACTCTCTATCATTATTTCCCATATGGTCAAAAATAAATAATAATTTGCCTTGCTAAATAGAAGTTTTTGATGGATGAAAAGAAGGCTGAGCTCATTGGCTCTCCGCGGTGACCCCATTGGATCTGATGACACAGATAGTGGGGGAGTGGTGGGGGTTAGCGTGTTCATGGCTGATAAGGCGGATGGGGAGGCTGGATCTGAGATACCAGCAGAAACACTTATCTGGATACTCAGAGAGAGCGCTCTGCCAAGACTGAGCCCTATCGCACTCGCAAAACCGCCGGACTGATTTGGAGCTGACAGATCTGACTGATACCGCCCCAAAAACCAACCAACCAAAACCAATTTCCCACTTTGACACTAAGATATAGAGAAAACGAATGTTGAGTTAGCTAGAGTGCTCAGTGGGTCAATAGTACAACAGACAGTCAACTCTCAATTTAGTTTTTACTGCATTGTGATTTGACTCGCGGCTCGCCGTGAGGCCCATCAATGTGCTTCATGGCTCTTCCCCCTGCAGTGCCTCCGTCTTGGGCTGCTGTTCTCGCTTGGTCCAGATGGAGAGTTTGGATGCTAGTCATTGTTCATGAGCTTTTTAACATGCTGGGTGCTGGTGACCTACTGTTTATTAGCCTAAACCCTGTGTGGTGTGGAGGCTTGGCAGTCTTAACAGCACATCCACCTGCTGTTTTCTCCAGACACTTGTAATTGTGCAGCCCTCCATTCTACCTACTTCCTTTCTTCAGCTTTTACACTGCATTGCAATTACTATAAAAATCTGGCTTGTACCTGGCTGATGCATGTGTCGTAATGCTACACAGAGGTATTGATGTCGACATCTGGGACTCGTCTAAACTTACAATGTAACTAATACCTTCCCTCTCAGTTAATCAGCTGCAAGATGAGAGCACAATCTCCTTGCAACCTTAAAAAGAGCTGTAGACTGGATTATTTTGCATGATTGACACGTCCTGTGAACTTTTAAACAAGAAGTGAAAAGTGGCACAGCAGCTGACATAACATAGAGGAGTATGGACATTTTTCAGATAGCATGATTCCGTTGACCTACAGACTGACAGATACTACCAACTAACATACTTAGTGACTCAGAACTGTCTTGACTGGATGATATTTTTACGATAATTCGAAGTCCAAAGAATGCTGAGTAAACACGTAAGAGGACTTTGCAAGGCCTTTCAAAGTCTGCATTTCAGCATTTTACACTGGAGGTTTATTAGTTACTTCCATTCACACAGGATGGAAAGTTTTTTTCTTTCGCTCCACTAGAAATGGAAGCGAACATGTTGGCTGTGATACCCAGACATCTGTTTGTCCTTGTCTGTGATGAAAGCCTGAAGCGTGTTGCATGTCCAAATTGGGAGTGCCTTCCATTCAGACCCTTGTATGAGCCTAATGACCCTGGTCCCCGGGGTCGGCTCTTCATTGGCTTCCCTGTTTTCTACCATTTTCCTCAATTTAAATTGTCTGGCCCTCTCAAAAGGGCCCCCATCTTGTTCCAAGAGCATTATGGCTCAAGAATTTCAATGTGCAAGGTCACTGGTGGAGGCAAAGTGTCAGAACGAAGAGTCTTCCACATGTGTTCATCTATTGGATGCCTCCAATGGAGGGCCATGCAATACAAAGGCATCCCGGATCCCACAGCTCCAAGACTTCCACTCCTTTCCCGTTGCACATTTGCATCAGAGGAGAATTAAAAACCATCTGGAATGCTTAAAACAGTGGATTTCTTTGAGGGGGGTCTTTGTTCTGTGGTGATGACTAATCTGAGTAGGACACAGGGAAAAACTGCGGTGACTTTTGTGAGAATAATACACTCTTTGGTGCAAATTCCAAGCCTTTCAAGCATTTATTTAAACATAAAGCTTGTTGAGAAAAAAAAAGCCACACTACTCTTGCATGCAATCTTTCAAGTTCTGCCAAGAATCTGAGAACAGGATTCCTCTTCCATAACCAAACTTTTGTAAAATGACCTTAATTCAGAAATACTATATTTCATGAAAAAAACGTTTCTTATAAAATTATTTCAAATATGATTTATGGCCTTTTAGAAAGATACAGCACGTAATTGGTTAAAAAATCAAAGTACAAACCTGCTGGTGGCGCTAGAGGAAAAGTCAGCGAATCAGTCAGTCGGATTCATTCACAAAAATGCTTTACTATCTATACTTCAGGCAATTCTGTTTGACCAAAGCTACAAATGCCACACACTCCCCTCTTAACATCATCTCCAGTTTCACTGTCATGTGTCTTTAGCTTTACTACATTCAAGGTGTTGAGAACCGTCTGCACCACAGCTGGTCATAGGCACTGGGCAGCATAGTCCAGGTGAAATCCTCCAAAGATGCACACATAAATTACTCTTAAACTTAAACCAGCAACAATGTGGAAGACAGATAGGGAGACAGAGGGAAGGAGAGGAGGCAGCATTGGGAGTTGATCAGCCTGAATTTAAGATGACATATGATTTAGTCACACCAAAACCTCTCTGCATGTCTCCTGAGTTTTTCCCAGTGTGGGTCATCTTGAATACCCACGATTACTGTTTGCTCTCAATCACCAGTGTATGGAGATAAGTGGGGTCAAAGACAGTCACCCTCTAAGAGGGCACGGAGCGTTGGGAGCTAACAGCTGTCCAAACAAAGGCCTGTTTCCCACTCATCGTTATGCCAAGTGTCAGTGTCAGTGGCTACTCATATGCGTAGCCAAAGCATCATGAAATATTAATGCACCAAGCCTGTGCTAATATCACGGCTGTTATGCAGAAGAAGTCAGTGTACGAGTGGAAACGACATATATTGTATATCATTAAGTTGTGAAAATGAATCAAAATTAAATAAAAATCTTATTTCAGAATAATTGACAGAGTGAAACTGAAGTCAGCGTCATTCACTGTGTCAGCATCTCCCCATCACACACAATTACCATCCAACAGACAATGCCCTGGTATCCTGTGGGTCTCCTCCATCACGGCCAGCCTCATATCTCTATACACTGACTCACCCCTTTGCCTGTCTTTACCGTCTCTTGCTGAGATGTACATATGCGTTTTGTTATCTGGCACCATGAGGATACCATTTTCCTCAAACAGCTTCGGGGGTAGACAGCGTAAATCTGTGAATCCTGCCATAAATCTTGCCATACCCTGCCTTAAAGGACTGCTAGCTTACCTCCCACTGTGGTCTAGATACAGTTTTGGAGGTTTGCTCACTCTGGCAAGAATAAGATTTGAAGCTTAAAACTTTAAAGTGAGACTATGTACATTTTGAAAGCAGAAACAGCACACTTTTTTTTACAAATAAAAAGTTGAAATCATAAGTAGTAAAATGCAGCCTTTCTCAATTAAATACACTCTGGGGTTTTGCTGCTACAGCCTTAGGCTAATGTTAGCACACTTTAAACAGACATTGCAATGTAAGTGATACTCCTGACTCATTAAAATTAGTTTTCTATAATTGTGCTACTGTTAGTGGGTGATCACACAGGGCTGTAGTTTGACAAAGCGAGTCAGAAATCATCAGGGCGATCAAATGTGACAGAGTTTACTTGGATTTTGTTGGCAATATGTTTCTGTGATTCATCTACTATTATAAATACATTTTAGCTTTAACATTATCCTCTAATTGTAACTTATGGCCACAGAGGTCACTGTTTAGCAAAAGTAACATAAGCTTGCTTAAATTCATAAATTGTTTTCAAGCAAAAATCCCCAAAACGTATGTACTGTAAAAAAAAAAAGCAGAGAAATTATATATATCCATTGTCAAACACCCATATCAGTGAATACTGGTTATTTACTAATCCATCAGACATCCTCTCCTTTATATTGTCTGTTTGTCTTTCTGCAGTCTCTGTGTTAGACACAACTGACAAACATAGAAACTGATCTGGAGATAGGAGACTGGGGAGCACATGGAGATGAACAGTCACTGGGTGTGTGCGTGTGATTGTGTGTGTCCGCGAAGCTTCCAGTTTACAGCCGGCAGTGTGTATGCTGGAGATCTGGGAGAGGAACCAACCAGCAGCATCTAATACAGAGCAGCTGTCTGTCTCCTGGGTTACACAAGCCTACTGTCTGCTGGCAACCATAAAGTGTACAGCTGGACCTACCCCAGCAAGCAGTGCACATATACACACAGACAGACACACACACTCATTAACCCTGCCCATCTCTCCTCTGGTATTCCATCAGACCACAACTCAGCATCAGCCCTAATGCAAGCAGAATAATTTAGCAGATCATCACAGACCTCCGTCTCTGAAGACATTACTCCTTTTACCTGCTGTGGTAATAAATAGGAAATTTCACAGTAAACCATAATTGGCAACCAGGTGCGTGCAGTAAAGAGCAAAATTAAGCCAGTCTCTGAAGTCCTCGCTTGTAAAACGTGAAGTATATACTGCTTTGATGAATGGAAATAATAACTTTACCGCTAACATTGCCCACATTCTTCACATACAGCATTCAGCCCTTAAAAAGTTAGTTGATTAATTGACAGAAAATTAATTGACGGAAATTTCAATAACCAATTAATGTTGGAGTCATTTATCAAGCAAAAATGTCACATTTTGCCTGGTTTTAGCTTTTCAAATGGGAGGATTTGCAAGTTTTCTGAATATTTTTGGGGTTAGGACAAAACAAGAAATTGTATGATGTCCCTCCCAGAACGTGTTATTATCAATTTTGTGACATTTTCTTTGACTAAAACAGAAAATTATACCTCCATAAAGTTGAGAGAATGTGGTTGAAGTTATTAAGCTGTCAAGCTCTGCAATTCTCAATTATCTTAATTAGGCAATACAATCAGCTCATTCATTCCGCTCTCATTCAAACACACCGGCTCCACACAGGTAAAGAAGGTGACTTACCTCACGCACAGTGCTCACAGCCTCTCCACTGATTAGGAAATTGAAGCAGCAGCAGCTGTGTTAAAGGGAGCCTTATCAGCCAGTCCTGACAAATGTTCTCACCAGTCTGTATCTTTCAGAGTGCTAACAGCTCTGTCATCTTCCCACTTCTCTCTGTTCTCTTAAAGTGTTTACTCGAGTCTACCTAGAGAGCCGGCTGATGTTGTGCAGCCAGTGAGGAGAGAGAAAAAGAGAGAGAGACAGGGTGAGAGAGGGAAATAGAGAGACGAAGAGCGGCAGGGAGAGGGAGAGAGTGAGTGAAAGAGAGAATTCCCTTTCTCTTAAACAGTAGACCCTCTGCGGTCAGACTCCACTCCCACCTACTGCTCTCTTAAATGCCCCCCACCCATTCACCCTCTCCACAGCATTGTGACTGAAAGCGAAGGAGCTGAAACGGGACGCCTCAAGGCTGGAAAGAGAGTCACTGAGAGAAAGAGAGTGAGTGTGTGTGTGGGGGGGGGGGGGGGGAGGGACCATTAGCAGCAAATTGCAGCATGCAAGCCAATGGAAAGCAATATATGAGTGAAGCAGGGCCTGCATTAACATAATATAGCAATAACATAGCATTTAAGAACTTGAAACTTGGACTGCCTTGGCTTCATTTGTGAGACCGATGAGGATCCCAGCCAACACTGATTATAGGTAAAATTATGTACTGAACCAATGTTGAAAATAGGCTACCAAAAGGAAAGTTTTGAAAATGTTGAGTTGGTCATTGCTGCTATTTTTAGTTATTTTGTATTAAAGCTCGGCCACTGTGAAACAGCGACTACTCCCAGGGTTAGCTAATGAACTACTGTAGCTGTCATGCTGAGCTAATGGCTAACATGCTAGTTAGTCAAGCTGACTGGACAATAAGTTCAAAGTTGAATTTAGTGTGAACTAAATGGTAAATGGACCTGTACTTGTATAGCGCCTTTCTAGTCTTCCGACCAGTCAAAGCACTTTTACACTACGTGCCATATTCACCCTTTCACACACATTCACTCAGGGATGGAAACGAACTCATTCGTAGACATTCACAGCATCGGGAGTAATTCGGGGTTCAGTATCTTGCTTAAGGATATTTCGACATATATACATGTGGCGGGTAGAGCCGGGAATTGAAACAACCAACCTTCCGACTAGTGGACGACCCACTCTTCCTCTGAGCCACAGACTCATCTATTCAACTTCTCAGGCGAGGACCACCAAGTAGAAACCTGACGTGCTGGTTCAAACAGTCGTGTCAGTAACCATTTCTTGATTAGAGTTTGCTCTGGGTACCAAATGTATGCTGGTTGCAATTACCAACCTTTCTGCTCGCAAGAACATGATGTAAACAGGCAGAACCTCCTCAAATAAACACAGGAACAAAGAGCTCAGGAGGATCCTGTGCTACAAGGCTTCTATCGAGCCCTATTCTGAGGAAAAAACTTAAAAGGGCAGAGAAACGTGCATCAGAAGATCTTCCATGAGAGCCAGTGTGTGGAGGATGGTATGTCACTCATTAAGTCTGGATATGACCCCTCAGACTGATCATATAGGGCTTTGCTGGTGGGGGTGCTGGTGGGGAACAATAAAGACCTTCACAAATACAGGCTTTTGCTTAATGTATAATTTCTTGAGCAAACTTTGAGAAATGATAATGACACGTCTCCAAGGAAAAGAGTAATTTTGAAGCAGAATAAATATATCTCTTTTGGAAATTTTCCATTCCCAAATGCCTCAGTGAACATTTTTCAGTTGAAAAGACGTACCAAATCAAAAGTGAACGTTTTTTGAAAACGTTGATTGAATGTTTGCTTTTAGACTCTATCGCTCCTATAAAAAAGAAATTATTAAAACATAGGAAACTAGCACCTTGGTACAACCACCAAACCCGCCAATTGAAGCAAAAAACAAGGAAATCTGAAAGGAAATGGCGCTCTTCGAAATTATTAGACTATCGCTCAATTTGGTATGGTAATCTTAAAACTTATAGAAAGGCCCTCCATAATGCCACAGGAGCCTATTATTCAACACTAATAGAAGAAAATAAGAACAACCCTGGGTTCCTCTTCAGCACTGTAGCCAGGCTGACAGAGAGTCACAGCTCTATTGAGCTACATATCCCCATAAACTTACATGAGCTTCTTTTATAATAAAATTATTACTATTAGAGAGAAAATTAGTCACCAAATGCCCCCAACAGGTATCACTGGCTCTCCAAGTTCAGGAACTTTGACTAATGTAAACTCAGATATATATTTAGAATGTTTTTCTGCTATCAATCTTCATCAGTTAACTTAAATAATTTCTTCATCGAAGCCATCAACCTGTCTATTAGACCCAATCCCAACTAGGCTGCTTAAAGAAGTCGTACCCTTAATTGGCACTTCTTTACTAGATATGAGTAATCTTTCTTTATTATCAGGATATGTACCACAGTCCTTTAAAGTAGCTGTAATTAAACCCCTTCTTAAAAAGCCCACTCTTGACCCAGGGGTTTTAGCCAACTATAGACTGATTTCTAACCTCCCCTCCCCTCAGATTATGGAGAAAGTAGTCGCCAAAGAGTTGTGTGACTTTCTACATAACAATAGCTTATTTGAGGATTTTCAGTCAGGATTTAGAGTTCATCACAGCACAGAGGCAATGGACTCGTCTCTGTACTTGTATTATTAGATCTTAGTGCTGCATTTGACACCATTGACCATAATATTCTTGTACAGAGACTTGAGCATCAAATTGGCATTAAAGGAACCGCACTAAGCTGGTTTAAGTCATACTTATCAGATCGTTCGCAGTTTGTACATGTTAACGATGAATCTTCAATAAATACTATAGTTAGTCATGGAGTTCCACAAGGTTCTGTACTTGGACCAATACTATTTACTTTATATATGCTCCCTTTAGGCAACATTATTAGGAATCACTCCATTAACTTTCATTGCTATGCAGATGATACGCAGTTATATCTATTGATCAAGCCCGGTGAAATTAATCAATTATCTAAATTACAAACATGTCTTAAGGACATAAAATCCTGGATGAGCTGTAATTTTCTGATGTTAAACTCATAAAATTCTAAAAAAAAAAAAAATTCTTGTACTTGGCCCCAAAAACCTTAGAGACTCACTGTCTGAAGATATAGTTACTCTAGATGGCATTACCTTGGCCTCTAGCACCACTGTCAGGAATCTTGGAGTTATCTTTGATCAGGACAAGTCATTTAATTCCCATAAAAAGCAGACCTCTAGGACTGCCTTCTTTCATTTACGTAATATTACAAAAATTAGACACATCCTATCACAGACAGATGCAGAAAAACTAATCCATGCATTTGTTACTTCAAGGCTGGATTACTGCAACTCTTTATTGTCAGGCTGCCCCAATAAGTCTATTAAGACGCTCCAATTAATTCAAAACACTGCAGCACGAGTACTGACAGGAACTAGGAAAAGAGATCATATCTCTCCTGTACTAGCTTCTCTGCACTGGCTCCCTGTAAAATTTAGAATAGAATTTAAAATCTTCCTCCTCACCTACAAAGCATGGCCAGGCCCCTTCCTATCTTAAAGAGCTCATAGTACCCTATTACCCCACTAGAACACTGCGTTCTCTGACTGCAGGGCTACTTGTGGTTCCTATAGTCTCTCAAAGTAGAACAGGAGCCAGAGCCTTCAGTTACCAAGCTCCTCTCCTGTGGAACCAGCTTCCAGTTGTTGTTCGGGAGGCAGACACTCTCTCCACATTCAAGAGTAGGCTTAAGACGTTCCTCTTTGATAAAGCTTATAGTTAGGGCTGGATCAGGTGAATCCTGAACCATCCCTTAGTTATGCTGCTATAGGCCTAGACTATCGTGGGATTTCCCATGGTGCACTGAGCTCCTCTCTTCCTCTCTCTCTCTTTCTGCACTCATTCATGTCCCATTAATGCATGTTACTAACTTTACTTCTTCCCCAGAGTTCTTGTGCTTTCTCGTCTCGCAGGTTCTCATGGATCCTGGTGGAGCTTCCTGCCATGGTCCTGCTTGACTGCCATTGCTAATATCACTGATATTATTGTTATTATTATTATTAATATTATTATTACTACAGTTACGTTATTACTATTGTCACTGCTCATTGTCCCCCACTGTTGCTGTTGTCGCCGTCATCATCTTCTTCATGTTCATCATCATCAGTCACTACTATTAGTGTAGTTGTTGCTACTGTTGTTGTGCAACTGTCTGTCTGTCTGTCTGTCTGTCTCTCTCTCTCTCTCTCTCTCTCTCTCTCTCTCTCTCTCTCTCTCTCTCTTACCCCAACTGGTCGAGGCAGACGACCACCCACCTAGAGCTGAAGGGTCTGTCCTAGGTTTATGCCTCTTCAAAGGCAGTTTTTCCTTGCCGAGTGCTTGCTCATGGTGGTACTGTTGGGTCTCTGTAAATGTTATAAGGAGTTCGGTCTAGACCTGCTCTATTTGAAAAGTGTCCTGAGATAACTTCTGTTATGAATTGGCGCTATACAAATAAAATTGAATTGAATTGAATTTCACCTGGATACAACATATAAAAACTTTTCATGCAGGACATGAGGGTGTATCCAATACTGAACCCACTCAACCACAGCATCTTCCTGTTAACCAGGACTTTGCCGATCTTATTCTATATGTCTATACTATATACTTTGAATTTTTAAGGCTAGAAAGTTCTTCCTGGCAACAACAAAAAAAAGGTAACCAATACACCTGACCCTCAAATTACACTGGGCACGTTCTAGACAGCACAAGAAAATCCCCCAGAAGTGCTGCAACGCATCTCAGAAGCGTCTCTTTGCTCTGCTCCACGTAGAATATACAGCTGGTCTATTTTTGCTGAAAGCCACAACTCTACTCGAGTCAAGCACAGAGAAGATCACACTGGTAGGAAGTCAGACACAGAAATGGCATAGAGAAGCTGGTCAATTTTTTAAAAATAAAATACTGCGTGCAGACTCCAGATCAAATTTCATGCTACATTATCATTGTGGTAGCAGACCACAAGTCAATCAGTCAGTATTTGAAGCAGATAAACACACTGTTTTGTTTAATTTTTAAGGACAAAATATACAAAGATGCATAACATTGTGACCACCAGGGTGCCCAGGTGGTCACAATGTTTTGGCTGATCTGTGTATATGAAATGCATTGAAATGATGTCTCTGTGTAGACCACATTTCTCCTACCACTGCAATATGACTTTAGAGACTTTTACACCAATCAATATAATATTGTTTCATTGTCAACATAAAACTGAACAAATTGTCAAAATGATTAAAAAAAATTGTCTTTAAGGACAGACTGATGTTATAATTGCATTTACCTGGTTGAAAAGAGGTCTTAGACCCATTATCACACAGTTTTCAACAAAAAAATCAACCTTAAAAT